CTGATTTTTGTATTTTAAATTCCTGAATCAGAGTGCCCTCTGTTGGAGAAAAAAAAAGCAATAGAAGTTTCACTGAACTAAGAATAGCTCAATTACTCCCTAAGTAAGCCATACATATATAAAATACATTTATAAATAATATGAATGCTACAAAACAAATGTTCTTTCATCTTATTTCTTTTAAATTACTTTTGGAATTACCTGTCATATTATGATGCAAAAGTTGGATGTTTCATATCATCTGAAATTAAATTTTAACCGAACCCAAATACTCTGTATAACCAGAAATATGAACAGATCAACAAAAATGTTTTTCCACATTTTAAAATTCCAATATAATATAGTTATAATTGTAATTTGACTTTTGCCAGACTGCTGTTTGAGTCTTCCTTGATGATAAATTTAAAACATGTCTGTTATGAACTGAACATCTGTTCCCTCCCAAATCATATATTAAAACCCTAACTTTCAATGTGACAGCATTAGGTGGTGGGGGCTGGGAAGTAATTAGGTAACAAGGGTGCATCCTTCATGAACAGGATTAATGCCTATATAAAAAGACACCACAGAGCGCTTTCACTCACTTGCTCTCCCTCTCTTTCTCTCCCTCTCTCTCTCTCTGTCTCTCTCTCTTTCGCTCTCCCCTCCCTCCCTCTCTCTCTCTCTCTCTTGCTCTCCGCCCCCTCCTCTGCCTTCTGCCATGTGAAGAAACTGAAAGACAGTTACCAGCAAATCATGAAACCAGCCCCCATCAGATACCAGCTCTGCTGGCACCTTGGTCTTGAACTTCCAGACTCCAGAACTTGAGAAATAAATGTTTGTTCATTAAACTACTCAATCTATAGTAATCTGTTGCAGCAGTCTGAACTCAGACACTCTCTAACTCAAGAAACTAATAGAAACTCTTACATTAGGGAATTGAAAAAATAGGTTGAACACTATGAGATCTACTATATTTATTCTATCAAAATTTTCTATAATTTTGTGGTATCACCAAGACCTTAGTCTGACTCCTCATTTCAGGAATGAATTATGTTATGAAGGTCCTAGCAGGTTTTGGGTTCCCTAGACCAACAATGTGCATGTTAGAATGACCTGGGGGAGATCTTTAAAAGAACAGTGTTCAGCACTGAACTATTCTTAGTTGGTACGTTACCTGAAATATCAGTACTAACTTTTAAAGCCTCTCCAGCTAAATCTAATAAGGTACAACCACTGCTGAGAATCATAAATTGAGTCTCTCCTCAGAATATCTAACATAAAACTGCCACTTTTATCTTCCAAAATGTTACCTTCATGAGAACTCCCTTCCTGAACATTTTATCCTCTTCCACAATTTCAAACATCTAACTAGTTTCTCAATCTACTGATCTCCACTTGTTATCTGAAAATATACTTCAGATGTAATAATACATTACATGTTACAGTATGGTTCCAGTCCCAGACTGCCTATGTTCAGATCCTAGCCCTTAAACTTACTATGTGATCTTGGGAAAGTCATCAAAGCTCCCTATGTCTCCATTTTCTCACCTGTAAAATGGGAGTGATAATGCTATGTATCTTAGAGGGTTACTGTGAATATTCCAGAAGTGTTAAGTGTTACCATTACTTATTCAACTTTATTTCCCCCTACTTTCAAAAGGTATTTTCATGGTATACCATTCCCTTCAAATTGTACACTAATTCTCACCTCTAGCTTTGCACAAACTGATTCTTCAGGCTGGAAACCTTGCTCATTCATTCCAACACAAACATAAACTATGTCTCACCCTCCTCTAGGTCCCATTTTAGTCTCTCCTGATTTCAACACAGGCTTCACTGAATACCTACATGTCTTTACTGATCTCTCCTTTAAAGAAACATTCCTTTGACCATAGGTAACTTTAAGAAATGAAGCTGGGAATTAAGCATTGACTCTGAAATTGAATCCTCACTGTGCTCCTTGCCAGCTGAGTCATTTCCTAAATCTATAACCCTGTTATTAGGATTGCTTACTAGTGGCCTAGGTCCTGAAGGCATTAAAACAGGGAATAACAAGCCTACTAAGTGTCAACTTATATTACATATTTGTTTTATATGTTTATTTTATCTGTACATGGTGATTGAAGGCTCTCTGGGATGGGTATTTTGAATTCCTTAAAGTTGTGAATAATACTTAATACTGTTACTATAAACCTGTAATTTAAAACACAGTAACAACCATCTATAGTAGATGATATAAAAGTACTTTAAGCTTTTTGCAAATATGAGAGGACACTTCATAACAATACTCTGGAAAAAACGTTTTTGATAAATGGTAACAAATATTGAACAAAACAAGGAATGAGCAAAAATGAAACACAGGCTGTAGGTAAGGATCACTGAAATTGGATTACTTTTTAAACATTCAATAACAAGTTTATATCAGATTCATCTTCTGAAAAGCCAGTACCCATTATGTCTTTTATCTGTCCAAAATCCTTCACATTTTCTCTCATTTCCTAAAAAATAAATTCAGAATTCTTAGCTTGACATTCAAAAATCATTTATGACCTGACCTCATCTATCCTTCTAATCTTCTCATTTTTCTCCTTTGTAAATTCTATTATTCTGCATAAATAGAACTACTTGCTCTTATTCATATGTACTGTCTGCTTTCTGTCTTATATAACTTTTAATATTTTATGTGACAATCGTTTCAAACAGCTATTATAAATGCTTGTCAAAGAACAGAGTGGCATAGGAACATATGGGCTCATATTCCAAGAATTAAGTTCCAATTATGAGCTTTAATCTGCCTCTTTCCACTATCACAGTACGGCCTTCAGCAGATAAATACAATTTACCCATCTCTTCCCCCAAATAATGTCAGCCGGTCAATACCAAATGCTCCTGCCATCACTTCCTAAAAGATGGATGCCTGTGCCATGGTCCCTAAGAAGAGCAGACAGACACCACAGCACACAAGACATTCTCTAAGTGAGAGAAAATAGATCAGAGCCCCTATTTTGCTTTACCTCCTTTGCTTTGAATTTCTTGTGACATAAATGCATGATAACTTACATCATATATTATTTAAGATAGAAGGTAATACATAATTTCACAATAAATGCATTAGGAATGTTTGCTCAAAATTTGCTTACTAATGTATGTACACAAGAAATGTTTAGAAATCACTGGTCTAAAAAATTAGGATTTTTAGGGGAAACTGCGCCAAGCAGAGGGCAAGAAGCTGGTAGTTAAGAAAAATCTTCATCTGTGAAATGATAAGAAACTGCTGAAGAGTAAAGGGCAACTGGGATGTGGGAAAAGAGAAGGGAAAGAAGGGGAAATTTTGTATGTATGTATATACATGACAGTTAACATGGTTGTTCTTCTGTCTTCTATTTCTATGCTGAAAGAAACTGTCAGTGAGTCTTTGGTTGACCAGTATTGCATGTCTATATCTGTTTTCATGAGAAGCCACTTTGAAGATATCAATATGTAACACAACAAGCATTGTTAATTCCCTACCACTTTGTTTGTAACTCTGTATTGTCTGTACTGTGCTTATGATGTTGTAAAATGTTGTATGTCTGTTAATGTTTCCCTCCTTTTATCTTTAAAATAAAAAAAAAAAGAAAGAAAGAAAAATCTTCAGGATTTTTCTAAAACCCAAACATCATATATTATTTATATAGGACAAATACCTTTCCAATAAAGTGTTATAATGTAACTGATTTTTAATTTAGAGATTGTTTTAGAGTTTTAAACATGGAATTTTGTCCTGAATACTATAAATATCTCATTAAAATAACATTTCATTTTGCAAAGCCTATAGGTCTTTACTTCAGTACACGTATGATCATTTATAACTATTCAAAAAACTTAGGATTGCAATAATGTGATGCTTTATAAAAAACAGTGCAGCAAAACAAAAATTTTTTAAAAAGAACAAACATAAAGTAAAGTGAGCTCAGGAAATAAGTTTAGCCATGAAACTAGATTAGCAAGTGCTATTCAGGGAAACAGTGTCATAGCTTGCTTAAGTAACAAACTAAAAGTTCACAAAATGGACAGTCATTATATTTGGATTTTTTTTTTTTTTAGTTTCTGTGAATGATACACTTAACACAGTCAACCCTATTACTGGCTATTCAGTAACATATTATGTTGCTCTAACCAATTAATTTCTAAAAGTGAATAAAGGGCCTATATCACAATATATGTCCTTTAAGACCATTACATACTATAAATCCTTCTCCATTAGAACAAAAGTATATTTGCAAATCTTAATTTAAACTGATTAGTTCCTACAATTTTTCTTTTCTTTTGTTTGTTTTTTTTGTTTGTTTGTTTGTTTGTTTTTGGTTTTGGTTTTTCTCCGGTACCGGGAACCGAACTCACAACCTTGGGCTTGCCAGGCAGGCGCTTTTGCCGCTGAGCTAAATCCCCAGCCCCTCTACAATTTTTCTTATAAATGTGTTAATATAAAAATCCTTAAGAAGCAAGAATCTCTAACTCAGACTTCATATTCTGAGCTCATAGATAACAGCCCTCCTGGGATTTGCATATTATGAAAACATGCAAGTTGAGCTTTCCAGAAAGTCTTTATAGTACTATGACTTAAGAAGTGACTGAGGAAGTATATACATGATTTAGCTGTCTATTTAAAGAGAGGTTTGACTGGGTTTATAGCAAAAACAGGGAGATAATAGAGTTTCTTCTTTTGGGAACCTCTATCAGTTTGCCCAACAAAAGTGAATAAAGATAACCAAATATACTATGAGTCCATGTGTCACAACAGAGTAGAACAGTGGAGACACCATCACTAACTCCAAGTGATACATCAAAGCACCTCTTTCCCTAGACACGAGGTGGGCACAGAACCCCAGTGAACATCAGAGACCAGCAGGGAGAGTAACATCTGATAGTGGCCGAATCTGATAAAGTAATATAGTGCACCCAACCCCACACCTCACTGCTGTACACATTGAACTGTCAAAGACAAATGCATCGTCTTCGTTTTCCCCCTTACTTACTACACTCTGGCTTCCATTTTTCCCAAGTTCTTCCTCTGAAATCTTGCTCAAATTATCTAAGTAGTGGTCTGATATTGTGTGGCACAAATCTTCAAAAGAATAATCCTTTTCTTGACACAATTTTATTTCATCCAAGAGTTTTGATAGTTCTCCAGTCACAGTTTCACCTACGAGAAGATCATTTTTTCAGATCATCCAAGAAAGCCTATTGCTAAAACTTAGTATTAAATAATGAAAATACAACCACTATGGTGATACTGTCAAAGTACAACACACAAGATTAAGATAAATGTCACCATCACCTGTCAAAATATGAATATTTTGTAGTTTACATCAATATGTACTTTCCTTAACAGTCTCAAGTACCTTACATATATAATTTATTCTGAAAAAAGTTTCCAACAGTTGTTACAATATAGACCTTAATATTTTTTATTTTGAATTAAAGGCATATTTAAGATCAGCTAATCACATATTCATGGATTTATTTCCAGGTTTTTTGTTCTGTTTCATTTGTCCACACAGCTTTTTTTAATGCCAGGACCACACTGTTTTTTAGCTTTTCAACAAGGGCCCAAAGAATCTACAACGTAGTTTCAATAAATGTTGTTAGGCAACTGCATATGAATAAAGAGAAGAATGAAATTGGACCCTTATTCTCAGAGCATAAGAAAAAGGGAAAAAATTAAGTATCCATTGTTGGATGATTTAAAAAATGGACTGAAAAAAACTCAAATGTAGACCATGACACAAGAAAACTCTCAGCTTTACAATATTGGTTGGGTAATGATTTTCTTAGATACAACACCCAAAGCAAAGATGAGAAAACTATCTATGGATTAGATACTTTAAATGTAGAACCTGAAACAATAAAACTCCTAGTTTTTTTTAATATTGATTGGATATGATTCTTTAGGTATGACACCAAAAGTATAGTAGCAAAAAGGTAAAAACAGACCAATGGTATTGTGTCAAACTAAAAACGATTCTTCACAACAAATGAAACAATTAATAGAGTATCACCATCCTACAGAATGGAAGAAAATATCTGTAAAATATAGACCTAGTAAAGGATTAAATTTCAAACTATATAACAAACTCAAGTGACGCAACAGTGAAAAATAAGTAACTCAAAAAATAAGCTAAGGAGCTACATAATCTTTTCTCCAATAAAATAAACCAAACAGGTATATGAAAAGGTGCTCAATATCACTAAGCATCAGGGAAATATAAATCAAACCATAATGTGGATCATTTCACATCTGCTCAAATGGCTATCATTAAAACGTGAGATGTAACAAGTGTTGGTGAAGCTACAGAAAAAGGAGAACCTTACACACTGTTGGTCAGAATGTAAAATGGTACAACCATCGTGAAAAACAGTGGGGTGGTTTCTCAAAAAAAAAAAAAAAAAAAAAACTACCTTGAATACCACTTCTTAGTATTTACCCAAAACAAATAAAATCAGTACCTTCAAGAAAGATATATGCGCCCCTCATGTTCATTGCAGCATTATTCAAAACAGTCAAGATATGGACATGAAGTGTCCATTTGGGGTGAATAGACAAAGAAAATACATGGTATGTATTGTGTTGTGTGTGTGTGTACACACACAAACATATAGACTATAATATGGTTAATGGACTATTATTCAGTGTTGAAAGGACATCTTGTCATTTGGAACAGTATGAATGAAACAGGAGGACATTTTGCTGAGTGAAATGAGACAGACAAATGTTGTATGATCTCACTCACATCCAGAGTCTAAAAAATATATGTCAAAAGCACAGAGTCCAGCGGTGATTGCCAAAGGCTGGGGCTGGAGAAAATAGGGGCATTTGATCAAAGTGTTCATAGGTTCAGTTATAGGGAATGAATAAATTCCAGAGATCTAATATAAAGCACTCTGACAATAGTGAACAATATTATATACTTGAAATCTGCTAACATAGTTTGCCTTACCTGTTTTTGACTACCAAAACCAAAAAACTGTAGCTATGCCAAATGGTAAATTTATTAATTAGGTTGATTGTGGCAATCAATTCACAATGTATATCAAAATATCTCATAGTGTACTGCAAAAATAAACAGTTATTATTTGTGAAGTACACCTCGATAAACTTGGGGGAAAACACATTTATGAAAAAAAAACAAAGAAATATCTAATCTATATAGACTTCGGAACAGCAGGGATAACTATGAGCTCTGCTTACTACTGTATCTCAGGGGCCCAAATAGTTCCCAACAAGCAGAGAAACTTAATAAATGTTGATTGAATAAATGTGTAAAATGTAAGACTTTAGACTATAACATATTAGACTTAAAATTTCCACAACTGTGAGCATATGTGACAAATTTGTACATAAAATCGAAAGTCTAATATAATCTCAAGGGCTTTGTAACTACTCACTTTTGGTCCTGTGGGAAGGAGACTCAGCAGGAGATGAAGCATGTATCTCTTCTGCAGGATCTTCCTGTATATGCTCCTCAAGGGCTGCTGGTCTTCCCACACCATCTAAATATTCTGTGTACATACATTTTAAAGTTACAGACTTGGATTTATGCACGTCAAAAAATCAATAGCTAAACTTTATGTTTTATTTCTGGTGATCAATTTTTCATTTATTTCCTCATTTTAAATGCATCCTCAATTTCCAAAAGAACTTCAAAAAACAAACAAACCAAGAACTTTGTAAGATACTAATTTTTAAATTTTTAAGTAATAAAATGGATACTTTGGGAGAAACTCATGAACCCCTTGTGGAAATTAAACATCTCATACTTTCCTTAAGAATGAATGTATTTATTGAAGACACAGTAGTACCTTTAATCTCCTTAAATTTTTCTATCTGAAGATTTAAAACTCCTTGAAATGTGCTTTAAATAGACTTCTCACTCACTACCACAATGATGTTCAATTTGGAATACACTACCAGACTAGTAACATACATGAATGAAATAGGATAAATTTCTTTCATACTGGTACTATGATCTTGCAAAATAAGCATAATCTGAATACTAAACTATTTCCACAAAGGAATAATATTAATTCCTATTATTTGTGCAGTAATGTCCTATACTGAGCCTTTCATTTTCTTTTTTGATAAGGACATACAAATACTAGTAGCAATTAAAACTTAAATAATGCTTAATATGTAGCCAACATAGCTCTTAGTAATTCATATAAATTAACTCATCTAATCTTTACAAATCTATGACACATGCACCATTACTATCTCAGTTTTAAAGATGACATCTAAAGAAGGAGGGTTATTAACTTGTCCCTACTCATACAGCTAATAATTGGTGAAGTCAGAAAGACATGGGACATGAAAACATAATAAGGAAAATAAAATTGAATGCAGGGATAAACGTCAACTAACAGTCAGTCTCAATGTCACAGGAAGAATAGAAACACACAGAGCATGTTTAATCAGAGAGCAGGTGTTCCATCCAAAGTTTAGCAATAACATAAAATGAAAAGCCTTGCTTTGTCTTGTTTTATTTTTTTGAGAAGTCAAAACTCACAAATCTTAATTAAAATTCAGAATTTTTTGACTGTTCACAGTTACTACAAATTTTATGGAAATAGGGTGGGCCAAAAATATGAAATCTAAATAAAATATATATCCTATATGCCAAAACTATTCAGCCTACATGTGCCTAGTCTGTAGCCTCTTTACAACAGATTAAATAAACAGATCCCTTCTCACTGGGATCTTTTGCTTATGTTCTTTCTTCAAAAGAATTTTGTCAAAAATGCAGTTAAGAAAGTTGGTACTCTCTTACAACCTATGTCTGCATACCATTCAAGTACTTTCTATGAAAAGGCAATTCCACTGTGCAAACTGCAATAGGAAAAGACAGAAACCTGTGGAAATCTATCCTCAAAATATCTGAACCATGTAATAACTATGTAAAATGGACAGCAAATTGGTGAAATAATACTTTAATTCACTATAAATCAGCTTTATTTCTGTAAGAAAACTTTATACTTAGATTTAAAATGCTCAAAAGACTTGAAATCTGGGAATATAGAGAATATATTTTTTCATTCTGAATTTTGCCAATAATTTAAAAAATTCAAAGATGTCCAATATACCCTACCATGAACTGACATAACTAATGAAGCCTAAACATTTATTCCTACATAATAACATTTTCATTTATGTTGAACCAGTACAATATGTAAAAAAAAATTGTCAGTAATGTGTTCATTCCCTTCATAGAGAGGAACATTTATTTTACTTCTCCCAAAAGACAGAATAGACACAAGCTTCAGTTTATCTTTAAATTCACTTAGAAGCAGAAATCTAATACAAAATATAACTGCATAGAGGCAGACAATGAGTAACAATGTGACAATTTTATTTTTTAGCTTTCACTCAACTTGATTTTAATCTAAATATAAAAATTATGCTTGGATTCTCTGACACATCTCTGTATGCATTTGACCTCCAGTTAACTTCTCTAAGGGCAAGAAAATTGAAGAGACCTAAAAGCTTTTGGAAACAGAAAAGACAGCATAATGACCATGCACTCTTTATACTCCTCACTGACCTGCCCTACTGGAATTTAATTCATTTGTTTCCCTACAGAAATGTTCTTCATTTTCCCAACTGATACCCTGTTATTATCTGGATGTAATATGTCTCCCAGGACTCATGCGTTAGGGGCTTAGTCCCCAGCAAAGCAGTGTTCAGAGCTGATGAGCATTTGAAGGCTGACCAGATCCCGAGAGTGATAACCTCATCAATGCCTTTATCCACTGATGAGCTCACTGCTGAAGGGACTGTTAAAGAGTGGAGTCTAGTTGGAGGAAGTAGGTCTCTGGAGGCATAGCCTGGGAGGATATATCTTGTCCTTCACTACTTCCTTCCCCTCCCCTTCTCCCCTCCCCCTCATCCTCTTCCTTCTCTTCCTTGTCCTCTTCCTCCTGCCCTTCCTCCCCTGCCTCCTCCTCCTTCTTTTTCTTTCTGGCTGCCATGAGATGAGCAGCTTTCCTCCACCATGCCCTTCTGTCATAATGCTTCTGCCCTGCCACAGGCCCAAAAGCAAGGGAGCGGGTCCACCAAAGACTGAAACCGTGAAACAAAATAAATGTCTTTAAGTGATATTCTTCTGGTATTTTTCACAGCAGTGGAAAACATTAACTTATACCTGATGAAACCGATCCTGCTTCCCTCCTCTATTATACTTATAGTCAATCTACAACAATTACAGGGATAATCATGCTGCATAGTGCAGGGACTAACTGGAGAGGAGAGAAAGAGAATCTCTAGGTTTTTAAGATAGCATGCTCTGTGCCAGGCCTAACCACCAACCAGAAAGAAAAAGCATTTGATCTAAATTTTTCATAAAAACTTTAGGTTAAATTAAAGAAACAATGTAATTCTGTAAATGAAAAAGTAGCAGCTGAATGGTTGTCTAATCAATAGACTTAATAACTGAAGCTAACTACAAATGTACTAAAATGACCTGTATCAAAACCAAAGGCTAGTAAAATTAATTTTGTACTACTGAGGGGGGAGGAAATAGTCTGTACTCTTTCAGCCATATTCAATTGTTTTGTCACTGTTGTTAATTTGGTATTTATGTACCAGCAATACTACTTAGCATAACACGTATGAGTTTAAACAAAACACCTATGAGAGCTCCAGTTTCCCTCATGTCCAAAAAAGAGACTCATATCTGGCTTACCTACCTAATAGTCATAAAAACCAGAAAAAAAAACAGAAAATCTCCCAAAAGTCTTAAACTATTGTTCAAATACAAGGTAATACTTAATTGCCACTTTATAGAGTCTTATTCAAGAAAACAATAATATATTTACTATATGGATTTTAAATAGACTTTAGTATAAGGTAGTATATAAATTCTTTTTAAAAAACTACTGAAAACATTTGGAAAGTTATTTATTTTAAAATCTACTAGAAAGAATGCAAATGATAAGTTCATTCAAAAGTAAACACTAACTTAAAGCTTAAAGCAAAACTTCAACAGTTTTAATGTAATCTTGACTTTAAGGCAAACTCCTCCATTATTCAATATTGCTTACCTTGTAGGAGTGTTGCAATCTGGAGAGATTTCTGAGATGGATGTTCTTTCAGAATGTCTAAGACCGTTCGACCTAAGCTATCCTTTATGTTGGCATCAATTCCTGAAAGAAAAGAAAAACTCACTGATGTTCACCACTGGAGTATCCTCAGAAGACACTGTGAATCTCTAACTGCTCTAATCTCAAACATACATAGCCCAAGCACTGAAAGTCCTTTTTAAAAATTAAATGACAAACACACAAGATTTTAACAAGAAAGGAGATGGGGGCCTACTACTACCAAAACTAAGAATAATCTTGAAAGTCAATTACTTCCTAAAGATCACTGACTCGGTCATTATGGTTGCTTTTCAGGACCCTATGATCCCTTTTGGGATGTAGAGGCTAACTAAATAGTACATTATCACACTAGAAAATATTACTGATTTATAAGTGGGTTTCTAAAGTATAATAGTTATATGATTTACATATCCTGTATAAATAGTAAAAATGTTAAAAATGAAAATCATGTATGATGTAAATAATATAAAGACACTTTGAGCAGACTTGAGTACACATAACATTTAAAAAAGCATGATTATTTTGAATAACTAAATCTCTCCAAATACAAAGCTACAATTACACTCCAGGAAATTTTTTATGCTAGATCATGTTCAATGTCTACCATACTCATCAGTTATCTGAGCAAACCTCTTGAACTACGTAAATGAAACATCATTATTATTTTATTTCTGAAAATATTTATTATCTTAAAGAATTTATTTTAATGTAGCAAATGGATTTCACTATCCTAAAAAAAGTTTATGAACTTTTGAAACACTTAACCACAAGAAAAGCCAGTTTGTAGAATCTGTGAAGTGATAGTTCATCATAAGATTATTAAATATTTGAATTTGTTCTGTGATGTATAGCTAGCACATATCACACTGCTCGCCTCAAATCATTTATTATGTCACTATAGTCCATATCAAAGTTAAATATACATGAAACTGACTTTGTGTAAGCATAGTCACAATAGTCTGCCAATGTTTTTTATTTCATTTTTTCAGAGGAGAATAAATATTCCACAGCCCTCAATATGAAAGGTCCCTATCAATTGTTTATGAGCATAAATTTTTATTCATGACTTTTAACCTTTAAAAACACGTGACTTCAATTCCAACTTAATTTCATTTCCAGTCAGAATATACATATGAAAATAAATAGGCCTCCTCTCTTACTCCCTCAAAAGACTGCTTCTAAAAGCTGCCCTTTAAAATAAGTCACCGTAGCCAAAAAACAATAGCTACTCAGTTGAATAACTAGAAGGAGAATTTACCTTAAGGAGAGGGAACTCAAATCTCTGTTGACCATAGTTCACATGATAAAAACCTAGGAAAAATATTGTGTTCTTTAATAAACCAAGCAATTGTCATCATTTCTCAGGGATCAATTCCTCCTTTGTGTAGAAAGCAGAAATCTCCTTTTCCTTCTCGTAGTTTCTCTAGTATATTTAAATGTATAAAACAGTAATTTCCAAGAGCTTTTTACTAAAACATTTATTGAGTAAAGGAAGGTGCGTATTTACATGAATTTTATCTAAACGGAAGTGCTAAATTCTACATAGTATGAATACAGATCTGCAATTTAGAGTGAAGAAAGGAAGAATGACTTGTGAAGAAAATCGTCATTTTCCTTTATCAATTCCTGAAATAGAAATAGCATTCAGCAGGATAGGAGAACCACAATAGCTACCTGTTTCTAACAGAACCCGCACGACATCCACCTTTCCAAACAAAGCCGCTTCATGAAGGGCACTCCCCTTTTCTGTCTGGAAAAAAAAAGAGAGAAAGAAAAAGGAAAGCATAGCTGCACTGGAATGCATATAGAGTTTTAAATTCCCATTTTGTGTATTCATACATATTTTCTGCAATTTCAGCACTCACTGACAAATAGTATGGAAAACAGAAGAGATTCTAGAAACAAAATACAAAGGCTTGTGTTTGTAAAACACGTCCGCTTCTGCACTGGCCAGGTGATCTTGCTATGTTAGGAAGCAACACATGCTCTTGAAGCCTCGGTTGTGTTCGCGGATGTAATGAACATAATAGTGCCTGCTGAACGAGGCTTTTGCGAGTGCACAACGAGTTCAGTCAGCCAGCACGCATTTATTGAACACCAATTCCATCCCAAAAACAGCAAGACTGTTCTGAAGGATGGAAACATCACCTCCACCTTCAAATCCACATCCTAAGGAGACCCATGTACAAACAAACATGTATAATAAATGAAATCTAAACAATTTAACATGGCTTCCAAAATCTGTCTGCCTTTATGCTACTTAATCTCCATCCTTTTTCCTGTACACCAAAACCCTCTTCCAGTCTATACTCCTGGCATCCTGAACTCGTTTATATTACAGTCACTCTGTTTTCTTACCCCGGGAGTCTCTAAGGCCAGGATCTAACTCCTCGCCTTCTTGATCTGGACATCACTCAAATTACTAGTTCTGTCTTCAGCAGGAGTCAGGATCACCTGGAAAGCTTGTTCTGGGCCCTATCTCCAGCTTCTGATTCAGAGACAAGATCCAGGAATTTCCATTTCTAAGTAGTTCCCACATGATACTGAGGGTCTAAAGAGTAGACTTTGAGAACCACTGACTTACTCCATATGTCAAATCTTAATATGATTTCACTGAGAAAGCTGACTCCTGCCCTGAAGCCTGTTTTTCCTACGTGTTTCACGTTAGTCTGTAGTTTCCTTATGATGGCGCTCATAATAGCATATTATAATTTCAAGTGATTATTTCCCTTAATAAATTATAAATTCAATAGAAATGTAGGAATCTATTGTTTCACCATTACATTTCCATTGCCTAAGGAAAGTATTTTAGAAATACAGAAGTTTAAGAATTATTCCGAGAGCAAGAAAAAAAAAAAGGAAGGAAAAAGGAAGCATAGGATGGAAAAGGAGAATCTGAGTCAGCGGGTGTCTGTTAGTACACTGTGAGCCCAACTCAGCTTTGAGAAAAATCAAGGAAGATTTCAAACAGAAGACTTTTTGAGTTTAAAAATATTAAGCAGTTTCTTTCTTTTCTTTACTTTTTTTTCTTTTCTTCTTCTAAGAAACTAACAAATGTCCAGTTTTTTGTATGTGTATGTATGTGTGTGCTTGTGAATGCACATGATGGCAAACTCAATAATGTAAATTTGTTCCCTTCTACTAAAGGTAACCTTTGGGGCTGGGGATTTAGCTCAGCGGCACAGCACCTGCCGGGCAAGCGCAAGGTCGTGAGTTTGATTCCCAGTACAAGAAAAAAAACCAAAAACCAAAAAAAGAAAAAAAACTAAAGGTAACTAATGTGAGATTCTGACCTCAATATGAAATAGGAATATCACTATGAAACATATGCACTGTAAACATTTCTTCATCAGTAAATGTCTACTGTATAGTTAATCCAAGCAAAAATCGTTTCTAAGGATATTGTTAAACAGGCTTCAGGAATACTGATTATCCATGTGATCTGAATGTATCTTCAAGAAGACATGACTGAAATGCACTTGAATTACAATATGACTACTAAGTTATCTACAGGTGTTAATAAAAATAGTAATCTAAAAGTATATAGCACTGGGCCAAAGGAAAAGGAACTATTACAACTTTCTCTGCTCTTAAGTATATATATATATATATGTGTGTGTGTGTGTGTGTGTGTGTATATATATATATATATATATATATAAATCACTCTGGGACATGAGCACTTTATTTTTTTTCCAACTCTTAAAAATATCCCATGAAAAACCCTAACTCTTTTTACAGTCATTCTGGTTTTCAACCAACCATCTAATTATTAACTTGATCTTTCAGAAAATTTTGGACTTAATTTTTGGAAAACCCCTCCTAGGATAGCACAACTTAAAATTCTGAAAATAAGTGGAACAATATTTTAATACAGGGCTGAAAATGAAAAGTAATGTCAAGGAGAAAAAGACAGAAAGCGTGAGTTCAGGGGTTTAGCCCTGGAGCAAGTATGTGTCCTAAAGCAATTGCCAACTGCTAGTGGGCCAGACAAAGAAGTGGAAGGAGGCAAGTGACAAAGCTTGAAGTCTAAGGAAGTTGGGAGGCTAGATCAGGAACCCTGAAAAATTCTTAAAACAAAAAACCCTCCAAAGAAAAAAATTCTTGGTGAAAACTGCTGCACAGAGGGAAAAAGCAGGGATGTCTATTTAGGTCTTATTTCTACATTAAACAGAGTAAAAGAAACAAATCCCACTAAGAATTCCTAACCACAATTCCACTCACATGGTAAGTTTAGGCACAAATTATACAATTTCTATGGCCCCCCAGATCCTTAACCAAAATGATATACAAAGGAGAAATCACTTAATAACACTGAAATTTTATATATCCTGTAAATGAAAAATATTAAAAACTTAATAGGGGTATTGGGAAGGATAAGTAAGATAAACATGCAACAAATAAGGTTTTTAAACTATTTTATTAACTTATAAAGTAATGACAAGTATTATTATTGCTACTCAAAAAACAATTAGCAATCTATTTATAAAAATAACTTCAATGATATTAATATTATAAAATTACACACATTTCCATTCTTTACACATTATTCTAAGATTACAATTCTGGGTTAAAAGAGACTTGTATTTTCATGCAATGGAAAAGAAAACAGAATCCTTGTATATAAAAGGTTAATAGGTAGAAAGCTGAGACAGGAGGGTTGCAAATTTGAGGCCGGCCTAGACAACCTAGCAAGATCCTGTCTCAAAAAATTAAAAGGGCTGGAGATGCACCTCAGTGTAAAGACCCTCAGTTCAAGCCCCAATACCAAAAAACAAAATGAAAAGGTGAGTAGAGAATCTTTTTAGCCTGTTTGTTATGGTTTAGATCCTCAATGTTCCCCAAGCCACGTTTTGAAGGCTTGGTCACCAGCGTGTTGTGTTACTGGAAGGTGGTAGGATCTTTAGAAGGTAGAGCTCTAGTGGGAAAAGGTAGGTCATCAAAGGCACGCCCTCAAAGTGGGTACTGAGACCTGGCTTCTTTCTCTGTTTTTCACTTCCTACGCACCATGAGGTGAGAAGTTTCCTCTGCCACATGCTCCCTGCTATAATGTACTCCCTTGCCACAGGTGTGACGGCAACAAGGACAAATGGCCACGGACTGAAACTTCTGAAATCATGAGCCAAAATGAACCTTTCCTTCTTATAAACTGATTATCTCAAGTATTTATCACAGCAGCAGAGGGTTACATGCTATAAAAATGGATCGCTTTCTCCAAATCCAAGGTTGATATAATCAGCTTCTTTGCTGAGACATTAAACCTGTCAAAATGAAATGAACTGCTGTCAAAACCTGAGGTAAACAAAGGTACCAGGAACTATTCACTGCTATCACAGAGTTTAAAAATGTCCAACCTGTGGATTTCCATAATAATTTTATTCCTTTCAACAATTAGAAAAAATTGAGATATTTTGCCAAGATATAAAGTAAGCATTTTTTAAAAACATTCCTGTATTCTCCAGTTTGTTATCCCCTGCACTAAATAAGCATCTAATTTGTTCATTAAAATTAGCACTATTCTGTACATCTCAGCCCTCTGCCACAAATCCACAACTCATAGTCTAGGTCCTCATGAAACAGTGCAAAACAATCAATGAGCAAACAAAATGTATATAAGGAAATAATACTCAAATAGGTAAATGCAAATCCTCCCAAGATCTGGGATTTGATTCCTGCTCTTGCTGTGGATTAAAGTTCTCTATTTTAAGGTCGGGGATAGAGCTCAGTGGCACAGCACCTGCCTGGCAAGTGCGAGGTCCTGCATTCAATTCCCAGTTCAAAAAACAAGTTCTCCATTTTATTTGATTTAATCACTTGAACATAACTTCTAAAGTAGACAATCATGCAGTTCACAAGGTAGCAACATTTCAAGATTTACCCAGTAACAAGATACAAAGTACTCATACTATCTTAGCATCTTTCGGTAGAAGGGGAAGGTTAAAACCTCTGAACACAGGGATGAAAACAGCTAAGTAAGAAGAATGGAAATGATGTATACATTGACATCAAAAACTGAACTGCTGAAGAAAGCAAAAGAAGTTGTTTCACTGATTAGAAGTGTCTATTAAAGTTAAGCCTCTGTAGCACCAAAGCTAAGAAAATAATATAAGCATCAGGAAGCAGCAAAAAAGGATGTTCATTTTTACAGCCCTGGGTTTTAGATTGCCTTTTATGTTTGGTCTTACGTATTTCCATGACTTCTGAGGAAACTCAATTAGGCATTTAAAGGGATGTTTGCAATGTTTTACACAGAATTTCTAGATTTTTTTAAAATTATTTTTAATAGTCAGATGTCATGATGCACATCCATCATCCCAACTACCTAGGAAGCTGAGGTAGGAGGATCACAAGTTTGAAGCCAGCTGACAACTTAACAGGATCCGGTCTTAAAACTTAGAAAAGGATAGCTGGGGATCAGTTTGGTGTTCTCTAGGTTGAATCCCCAGGATCCAAAGGGAAAAAAGTAATGTTTTTAGGCTCTCATCCACCAAAATGCCAAAATAGCAAATAGAAAAAGGCCACAAAGATGTCAGAACTTAGCAACATGGTTCCCTTCTGAATCTAATGTTCTAACAGTGGGCCTCTTGAAGCCTGTGAAAGAGAATGACCTAAGAAAGTAAGATCAATTCTTGACTAAAGGAGAAAACGAAGAGAACAATAATAAGATCTAAAGCACGATCACAGTAATGGTTAGTCAAGACAAGAGCACCAGTATTTGAGATATGAGAGCTCTGACTACTGTAAATAATA